TATATATATATATATAATCTCATTAATAACGAAAGAATTATATTATTTTTTTTTCTCTCATAGCGGCTTTCATTTTCAGATATTATTCCTCAAAACATTTATATCTAGAATAAAAGCTACTTTCAATAATTTCATTCTGCACCGCAGAAAATATCCTTGTTTCTCGTATTATGGTAGGTTCTATTTCCGTGCAATCGATCGGTGCGGCTCATTGCACGTGCAATTTCTGGGCAATCTTGCCACAATTTACAGGGAGTTACAGTTACACGTGTGCTCCACTCCAAGCAGACGGTATAAAATACTATTTTCATTCTTCACAGAAAACCGATGATTTTTCACGTGAACTCTGCACGTGCCGCTATTGTCGCGTTATTAATACTAATTGCGGATTCCTCCTTCCGGAGAAATGGAGAACACACCGGTTAAATTCGAGGAAGAAGCTATTTTGTACGAGGATATTCGGAAGGTTTGCGTGAGAAACATATTCTCAAAGCCCTCTTCATGTCGCGTTGAAATTTTCAAAAGCTTAGATTGCTAACCTACGGCGTTGAAGTCGCTTTGAAGTCGCCGCGAGAATTATTCAACAGGATACAACCCTGATGTAGCTGCTGCTGCCCCTATATTTCGGGCTTAATCATTTTCCCCTGTGTGCATGCAATGCAGAAGGCTGACCTGCATCCACCCGCGCCGCCCGGAAGAGCGAAATTAGTTCCTCTTTATTGCGCCGAGGTGAGGTAATGCCGTTTACTTCGCCTCGGTGTTAGCCATTCCCGACATTAATCCACATAGAAAGTAACTTCGTATCTCTCTCTCTGTCTCATTGCGTCACTTGTAAGTGGCTGCGAGAATTTTCTTTCGCGACTGCGAAATTTTAATACGAGAGATGTTAACCTCCGTGAAAAAAATTTGTGCCGTAATAAGCAGATAGAACGTAATTTTACGCATAGAAATTTTATTAGGATGGATCATCGTCAATTTAGTATGTTTATACACTTTGCATTACGTATGTTGAATAATAAGCCTCCTCATAAAATACTTTTAAGGAAAAGTTAACTTTTTTTTTTCCTATCTTCCTATCTTCTGACTACAGACTTGACCTTTGTGTTCTCTCACTCGCCATATTCATAATTCAGAAGAGGAACTGAACTCCTCTGGCGGATATGCAGTAGCAAATGGGGCAGACTTTTGCGTGCCGCACACACATACACGTACACGCACACGTACACATATATACAAACGCAGCACGACCGGGAAAATTATTAAAGCCGGAAGATAAGGCGGCGCTATGTAGCGGCGTTGAATAATTCAAGCGACTCGAAAACGCTAATTTCACCGACGGGAGAGAGAGAGAGAGAGAGAAGATGTTCGCCTCGTCGGAGCACCTCATTTCGTTTCTGACGACGGACGAGCCTCTTCTTATTGGATTTGGGACGTTGAGTTAAGCATTGAGAACTGCGGGTGGATCCCGCTGGCGCATTAGTGCAGCCGATTTAGAATCGATGCTTTACGATGCCCTGCGAGAAATAATGTCGACTTCACTTTCTACACGAATTATACACCAAGAAAAAGGTTTCTTTAGATTTAGCAATTCTATTTATTTCACTTGAATTTATTTAATTTAAACGACATAATTTTTTGTTAAACATCATTTTGTTGAATTGAGAGTTTTATTTTATCGTTAGACCATATTGTTTAATAGAAAAAAAATATTATTATTTAAAAAAATTTATCTTGGACCTAAATAATACTTTGTTTGGCTAGATTAAATATTGATTCAATGAAAGAGATCCTTTAATATTATTGAAACATATGATGAAAAATTTATTTTTTTCAAACAATTTATTAAACAAATATTTCATTTAAAATAAAGTTCTTTATTATTTCAGAAAAATCAAACCATCGAATTTATTGAATCAGTCAATAATTGATTTGTTTGGACTATTTCAAAAAATAAATTTCTTTGAATCTAATAAAATTTATTAAATTCAAAGAAATCGTTCCCTCTGTGTACAACGAATAATAGCCGCGCAATAAAATAACGATAAAAATTTATTTTTAAACTCAAAAGAGCTAGCTAACAAATTATCTCATTCCGGATGATGCGAGTCAGTTCTGAGTACACTTGAAAGAAATGTAAACCTGCAATTGGCAACTATAGATTGCGGCGACGCGAGAAAGCTTTTCCGACTTGTGTAGAATATCGTTTCGCGAGTCAATACAAACTGTCGTGTAGTGAGTTATTTAGCTGGCCTACATACGATATTCCACAGGATTTTCCATCGATCTTAATCTCTTAATAATAGTTAAGTTAATCAATACTTGTCGGCACAACATTCGAGCGCTAATAACATTCGGCGCGGATCAAAACTTGTTATGCGCTTAAATTCCAGTGAATTTCACTTTTTGAAATTACAATTAAAAAATATATGAGAGATTTAAAATCTGCATCGCGGCGTAATCTCTTTCATGAAAAAAAGCTCAGGATAATCGGCGCACAACTTACAACTTACTTTAGTAATCTGTGAGATGTCACTCGAAAGGATTTAAAATTTTAATTCTGTAAACATTTCAAAAAAAATACACCTTGGATATAACATTACGCTGAGCGTCATGAGATTATGTGGAAAAAATTGTACGCGCCGACAGGCGAAAGTAAAAACTATATTAAAACTGTAATTTTCCCTAAAAAAGATAAACGAGATCGAGTCACATCAAGCTTTGATAATTGTCATAAAAATAGAAATAAAAAGAGAAATTGCATATAGAATTTCTGTTCACAATGTCTGATAGCAACGGCTGAATATAATTGCTGAACAGTGAAGATCCGAATCAAACGCATTTCCCTCATAAAACTTCTTTTCATCTACAATCGCTCGAATAACACGTCCCAAAATCGGGCAGGTCTCCCCTGCTGCAATCTATGGAATAGCACCATTGGCCGGATTCATACCGCGGAACGGAAAACGCGGAAAGCATGGACTATTGTTTCGCACTGAAACGTCGCTCTCGTAACGAGCCAACCGAACTCTTATTGATCCGCGAATCAGACGGCGCGTTACTGATTTATGATCGTCGACGAGAGCAAAAACGGATCGTTCCGATACCTCCGTTCCGTTCTCGTTGTACATATCATAGCCGCTTTTGACCCGCTTTTAGCTCGTTGTTAAAAGATTCCCCCTCTCCGAAAAAATATCCAGTGAAAAAAAATGAAGATTTCCAAACTAACGT